ACTGTTTGATTGAGATTTAAGGTGTCTGTCTAAACTGTAGTAATCCCCAGATAGTTACTAGAGTCGCACTTAAATGGGTGGCTATTGCCAATCAGTGTCACGGTTTGTGGCTAATTAAATCGACTTGTTGTTTTTGTTAAAGTATGCAAATTAGTTGAGACTAGGCGTTGGTAGGTCCTTGAAACAACAATTTAGTTATGGATATCTTATAACATTAGCTTTGCGCAGTGGCGGTACCATAGCCAATGAGGTTCATCCGGTGAAACTGAGATGCCACTGGCTCCCTCTGAACTTGAGGCTAAGTTTTTAGCCAAGTATTTTTCCCAGTTTGGGAATGTACTTGATGTTGCATGGGACAACACTATTGTCTCAGGCGACCTCACGTGTAACAGTGGTTTGGCCATTGTTAAGCTGGAAGTGAGTGACGAGAGCAGGAATGCAATTCCATATATAGTCCGTTTTGAGGATGGGGAGACTATGATGATTACTGCTCCTGGACGCATGTCACTCTGTTTCAAGTGCAGAAGACTAGGTCATGTAAGAGCAGTGTGTCCTAATTCAAGTTCAAGGAATTTCAGAAATGTAGCCGCAGATGACGATGATGCGCCAGGATCTCTCTTTCCACGTGGAATTTTATCAAGCAGAACCCCCAGAAAGCCAGATGATGAAATCTCCTTATCGGATGTGTCGGACAAGGTTCTAGAGGACATTAATGCGCTTGAGACAGAACAGACTGTGGATTTAATGAGTGACCAGAATGACGTGGAAGAAGCTGATGTATCAGAAGGTCAACCAGATAGTGAACTTGTTAACTCTGATCACAGCGGACCTGTTTCAGATTGTGCCGAATCTGGTAAAGAGCTCTTTACTACAGATGAGGAACATGTCGAAACACTGCCAAAATCTGGGACATATTCGGATATAGTGAAGAAGGTTTCCCCCCAAAAGAACCCTCCTTCTACCCATGTCCTGTCAGGTATGCCATCTGGTGTCCTGGCAGCGGCTTTGGTAACTCTACAGCCAAGGGGTGTGGTTCGTGTGGGAACATCTGCCTCTGAAACCCAGAAGAAGAAGCAGAGAACTGATCCACCGGATGACATTGAGTGAATTGACTTTGATGGAAACAGACAAGACAACGCATATGGACAATGAGACAGAAAATGGACTTAAACACAGACGCACTGGCTTCTCCCATGTGGGAGTGATATATGTGTACTTTTACTTTCTCTTGAATGAGAGAGAGCTCACTGGATTCATTGTGTTGGATTCATATGTTTCACCTTGGAGATATTCGTCAAGGATTACCTTCTATAATGGGATATCTCTTTTAAGTGAGTATGCTTATTCACATATGTTTGTTTTGTGATATAATGGCCACGAATCAAGGAATTAACACTAAACTGTTTTCCGTTTGTACATTAAATTGTTCTGGTTTAAGGGGAGGGGTTAGAAGGAGAATGTTGAAGTATGAATGGAATGAAATGAATGCAGATGTTTTATTTTTGCAAGAGACACATGTTGCTTGTGTAAAAGAGGGTCAGAGTGTTGAGAGAGAACTCGGGTGCAAGGCGATTTGGAGTTTTGGTACAGGGGCTTCTTGTGGGGTGGGTATTCTCTTATCAAATAAGTTAAGCTTTAAAATAGTTAAATTTCATTATGACTTTGATGGTCGCTTATTAGTATTGGATGTTGATGTATGTGATAAATCTTTCCGATTTATTAATGTCTATTGTCCAAATGATGCCACTGATAGAAGAGAGTTTCTTACTACCCTAGATATTCATCTGGTTACAAGGCGTTTCATAATACTTGGAGGGGACTTTAATTTTGTAATGGATACTTCATTGGACAAAGTTGGTGGTAATCCTCTTGCAGGAAGTGATGGTTCTAAAATTCTTCAAAATATTCAGAATAATTACCATTTGACTGATCCATTCCGGTTTCAGAATCCTAAGTGCATTCTTACTACTTGGCGTCAAGGAAACATTTCATGTAGACTAGACAGGTTCTATACATCTTCTTGTGTGTTGGATAATGTTCGTAATTGTAGATTAATGCCATGTTCCTTTTCCGATCATGATTATTTTTCATTTGATTTTATCCTATTGGATTCGATCTCAGTTGGTCCAGGGTACTGGAAAATAAATAACTCTATATTAGAAGACAGAGCCTTTCAGATGTCTTTTCGAAATTTTTGGAATGGTTTAGATGTCAGTACCACTCTGTCACATTCTGAGTGGGAGGATCTCAAGGTTGAAATTAAAAGGTATATTTCTAGTTATTGTGTTAAAAGAGTAAATGTCAAGAGAAATGTTCAGTTTCAACTTCAACGCCGATACAGGGATCTATTAGAAGCTGAAAGCAAGTCTCCTGGTGCTTTTACAGATCAACTTACTGCAGTTAAGAAACAGTTGTACAATTTTATATTTGATACTGCTCAAGGTGCTATGATTCATTCACGAGCAAACTATTAGACAATAATGAAAAGCCTTCTAAATTCTTTTTACAAACTGAGTTTAAACATTCTGGTGCTAAAGTTATTCATAAACTCATTGATGATCAAAACGTTTACACTTCACAGAATGACATTTCTAATCACTGTAGAAACTTCTTTGCTGATTTATTTACTGAAGAGGATATTGATGACTTCTACTGTGATGAATTTATAGATAATTTGCCATCTCTAGGGAATCGGTCTGATATATGTGAAGGTATGATTACCAATGATGAAGTGTTTGCAGCCCTTAAAAGTATGGAGTCTAATAAGTCTCCTGGTTTGGATGGTTTGTCTAAAGAATTTTATCTGGCATTTTGGGATTTGTTTGGTGATATTTTACCTAATTTATACAATTCCTCCTTTAATCTGGGTCATATGTGTGCCAGTCAAAAACATGGTTGTATATCACTTTTATGTAAGGACAGTAAACATCCGTACTTATTAAAGAATTGGAGACCTATTAGTTTGCTATGTGTTGATTATAAGGCGCTTTCTCGAGTTTTACAGAATAGATTGTCATTAGTTATATCAAGCATTGTACATCCGGATCAGACATGCGCTGTGAAGGGTAGATCTATTCATGATAATTTGCATTTGATACGAAATGTCATCGATTATGTTCAGCAGAAAGACTTGTCAGTATCCTTTGTTTGTCTCGATCAGGAGAAAGCGTTTGATCGTGTAAACCATGATTTTATGTTCAAAGCTTTACATAAATATGGGTTTGGGCCTCAATTTATTCGTTGGGTTAAGCTTTTATACACTGATATATCAAGTTCAGTGCTTGTTAATGGTCACCTTTCTCCTTCCTTTCCGGTTACTAGGAGTGTACGTCAAGGTTGCAGTTTATCTCCTTTGTTATATGTACTGGTATTTGAACCGTTTGCCATAAAAGTACGAAATGATAGTTCAATTTCGGGCATAAAACTTCCAGGTTCCAGTGAGGAAGCCAAGTTTTCAGCATATGCAGATGATGGTACTGGAATTTGTATGAATGGCCGGAGCGTAAAACGTTTGCTAGATTTGAGTGTGTTGTATGGAAAGGCATCTGGTGCCAAACTGAATGTTAATAAAACAAAGGGACTTACATTTGGAAAGTGGAAATTTTCAGCAGATCATCCGTTTGGAATATCGTGGCCAGATTCATGTAAAATTTTGGGAGTTAAATTTGGCAGAAACATTACTGATGATGACATCTGGAATGAAATATTGGTAAAGTTTCATGGTGTACTATTTATTGGTTTCAAAGATAGACAGTTGTCAGTGTTTGGAAAGTCCACGATTATCAAGAGTATGGCTATGTCTAAGGTTTGGTATACTGCAGGAGTTACACAGATGCCAAGTCATTTTTGTAAGCTCATACAAAGGATGGCTTTCAGTTTCTTTTGGGATTCTCACAAATTAGAACCACTGAACCGTAACATATTATATAATAGCGTTTTAAATGGTGGTGTAAATTTTGTTCATCTTATTTCACGTCTCCATGCTCTCAATTTATTTCATTTGTATATGTTTATCAATAATTCTTCTTGCAAGTGGGCACAGTTTGCTCTCTACTGGGTTGGTATTGCTCTTAGGAAGGTCAATCCTAGTTTTGCATCGAACTTAATTCCACACTCTCCTGTCATTCCCAGTTATTATGAAAAATGTTTGATATCCTTTAGGTATTTTATGATGCTTTACCCACATTTTGATTGGAATACTCCAATGCACACGAAAGACTTTTATCACTTAATAATTAATGCTGTTGTAATGAAACCCAGAGTGACAACATTGTTTCCATGCATTAACTTTTCAGTTAGTTTTCAGTCACTATGTAATCCATTTCTGGATCCTATGTGCAAGAGTTTTGCATGGCGTATGATGCACTGTATTGTTTCAACTAATTACACTTGGTATTGTCGCAATTTTACATTCAACAAAAGTGTACATTTTGTTCAGAAACAGAGACTTTAAAACACCTGTTTTTCAATGTGAAGTAGTTAAGGATTTGTGGAATATTGTACATAGTTGGATTTTGATATATCTTGTGGTGTGGTGGATTTAGATTTTGAAATGATCAGGTTTCATAACCTTCCTCGTGTTAAATGTAAATACAGGCATTCAGTCATATTATATCTTGTGTGTCTTGCGAAATATCATATTTGGCAAGTGAGGTCAAAGGTTAAATTTTGGCATAAACCAACTTCATCAACAAACATGTTTGCTGGATTTGTTGAAAAACTGCGTTTAAGAATTTTATGTGATAAGTTGCGATTTCCATATGATGTATTCAGGAAATATTGGGTTGATGTACGTGTGTTTTGTAAACTGACTCCCAACAATCAGATAGAATTTCTCTTTGACAGTTGAGTTGTGTTAAATGGTAAAACAGTATATTTACATGTAACAATTTGTAAATAGTAAATTCTTTCAATTGTAAATATGCTTTTAAATATGTTTGTACAATTTCCATGTAAATATGTGTATATACATGTACATATGTAGTCTCCATAGAAGACGCAACTTTATATGAAATAAAAAAAAAAAAAAAAAAAGAGGTTCATCCGAGGCGTGGTTATTGCTAGTTGAAAACTAATCCCAATACCCCGCGCTGACGCCCTTCACTGGGCGGCATGCGCAATTTTTGCTAGCTCCTACGGGAGCCTCATATATAATCAAAGAATAGAACCTCAGATGTACACATGAAACCTTGTGGTTTTCATTCGCCTCCCGTACTTCCCTAACATTATCATCTGGTCACTCCAGCATCATTTTGTTATAAATGGCTTTTTATTAAACATATATATAACGTCAGTGTAAAAGAATACCCAGTCTTTTGAAAAGCTACTTCTCTGTGGTATTGCTATACATAGCTATGTACATGTGAGTGATTTCACAGTGTGTTTATTTAGAGTTGATTGCCCTTGGACAGCTCCGACGACAAGTAGCACGTATATGTCGTTTGGAAAACGTTGTACATACCATATGCATGGGTGTAGACGGATGTGATGTAATCCTGTGCATTCTGCGTCGGTGTCGATTATGAATGATGAAAACCGCGTCCAAAACATGTTATAATATGTATAAAAGCTACTGAGAGTACTACCACAATACAATAAGAAAACGGTTAAAGGCATCCACAATACTGAAATTCATGTTATCATTATTTCTTGTATCTTTGAGTCATTCTGTCACCTGAACTTGCATACAATCATCCCTTGGACTTGGAAGAGAGTAAAATTATTAAGCCTACCAACTAGTTTACAAAGTATTTATATTAGTACCTCAAGTATTTATGCACATGCATTTTACATTGCATAAAGCCAATTGTCTCTATTGAATATTTTGTAACTATTCCAAATTAAAAAACTATTTTTTACATATCAATATTGATATTTGTTAGGAACTATTTGATCTCAAATAGTTTCTAACAAATATAAATATATCGAATATGTAAAAAATAGTTTTTAATTTGGAATAGTTATGGAATATTGCTGCAGCATAACAAATGTATTTAGAAAATAAATAACACATTAAACAAACAAAAATATTCTAATTTGGAATTACATACTTTAATTGAAAAGGGAAATGACAGAGTCAATGTGGCCAAATATGAAAAGAACATCAACTTGATAAAGTTGGTAACACATGGCTGTTTTATGAATAGCAGTATATTAATTAATAGTTTTATTAATTCAATATCAATACAGATTACTCAAATGCATTTTACGTTAACCATGTCATTGATTCCCAAAATATGTTTTGTGACAAACACAGTCCGCGATACTGAAAAGAAACACGTTTAGCGATAGAACTGCACTGGTTGTCAAAAATATATTATAGCTAAAGAAAGGTACTCATATGTTTTCGAATTGACTCGTGGTTGTCGGTTGTCAGTAAGGAACAGATAATCCTTGAAGGAATAATAATTTTTCGATCTTATCGTCCCCAAATTATCCAATTATTACGACTGTCACCAGCTGTGACAGCCAAGCATGGTAGTACACTTGGTCCGGTCTAGTAAGGTCATATTAGGCGGTCGCGCAATTTGGCACCACAACTGGTTCTTGCGCATTCGCTTGTCACCGGAAATCTAGTAGCGGAAGTAGCGCCTCGCGAGACTTACGGGCCCTATACCCCGTGCTGACGCCCTTCACTGGGTGGCATGCGCAATTTTTGCTAGCTCCTACGGGAGCCTCATATATAATCAAAGAATAGAACCTCAGATGTACACATGAAACCTTGTGGTTTTCATTCGCCTCCCGTACTTCCCTAACATTATAATCTGGTCACTCCAGCATCATTTTGTTATAAATGGCTTTTTATTAAACATATATATAACGTCAGTGTAAAAGAATACCCAGTCTTTTGAAAAGCTACTTCTCTGTGGTATTGCTATACATAGCTATGTACATGTGAGTGATTTCACAGTGTGTTTATTTAGAGTTGATTGCCCTTGGACAGCTCCGACGACAAGTAGCACGTATATGTCGTTTGGAAAACGTTGTACATACCATATGCATGGGTGTAGACGGATGTGATGTAATCCTGTGCATTCTGCGTCGGTGTCGATTATGAATGATGAAAACCGCGTCCAAAACATGTTATAATATGTATAAAAGCTACTGAGAGTACTACCACAATACAATAAGAAAACGGTTAAAGGCATCCACAATACTGAAATTCATGTTATCATTGTGTATGAATTAAGTAGCAGCACTGAAGAATAACATGTATATATATTCCATCAGTTTGAAAATCATGTGAGACCCCCTCCCTATAAAAGGACGTAATGCCAATCTAGAAGTGTATTGCTAACGCAGTACATATACTAAAATTGGAACGATACAGAGAAGATTAGCATGGCCCCTGCGCAAGGATGACACGCAAATTCGTGAAGCGTTCCATATTTTTAATCTTTCCATCCCCTAAATAACACTTCCAGCTAAATATGTCATTCATTTGGCAACAGGGGGCAAACTTGATGTTGGCAAATGACTTCAGATTTACACGATTGTTTACAGATGAAGTGAACAGACTGCATTATAACTTTTATAATTTCTCTTTTTTCTTTCACCCGACATGCCTTGAACATGCCCACGTGGCATAGTTTGCATAGGCATCCAGAAATAAACCATGTCTATTTCATTCGTTTAAAAACTTATGTCATTCTTTATTCATTCTCATATTATCACAGCCTCCGCGTTATAATTATGTTTGAATGGATGATTATTCCCGCCGAGTACTGCTATCGTGCGCATGCGCCTTGCTCTTGACTTGAACGCATGTACTACGATGACTTTAAGCCTTCACTTCTCTCATCATCATTGTTTGATTGTCGGTGTCGTTAAATGAATCCCCAGATAACACTGTTTGATTGCCAATCAGTGTCACGAATTAAATCGACTTTAAAGTTAGTTGAGACTAGGCTGTAGGTCTAAACTGTAGTAATCCCCAGATGGTTACTAGAGAGGCGTTTATTGCACTTAAATGGCTGACGCCCTGGCTATTGCTCCCTACGGGATCAGTGTCACGGTTTGTGGCTAATTAAATCGGCTTGTTGTTTTTATTAAACGTATGCAAATTAGTTGAGACTGGGCGTTGCTATGTACATGGTCCTTGAAGAGTTGATTGCCCTTGGAATCCGACGACAAAGTAGCACGTTAATGTCGTTTGCGTTGTTTCCATAAGTGGGTGTAGACGGATGTGATGTAATCCTGTGCATTCTGCGTCGGTGTCGATTATGCTGTTCCAAAAACATGTTACAATAATTCCCCATTTGCTGTTTCATGATGGCTCTGGCGGAGCTCTAATGCAATTCCGAGAGACGTCTTCTTACATCGGCAAGTGGATTACAGAAGGATCACTAGGTGAATATTGTGTAATTTCTGCTGTGTGATCTTTGACATTTTACGGACACTTCTCTTATCCAGGTCTATGGGCGGGCACTGAGTACTCTTTAGTACTGAGTACTCTTTAGTACTCAGTGGACCTTTAGTGGTCACCCCCCCACTTGCTCCTTCATCACCATGGCCTTGGCTGCGGCGCCAGTTTTGACACCTGTTCATCGGATGTACAGAGACGAGTCAAGTTATGCATGCACCATCACGGCAGAGTGCAAGGTGAGACCATTCACGAGAGAACTGTTGTTTGATGCTATTGTTGCTACGTTACAAAATATTTCTTGAAAAGATGTTATTTCCATCTGGAATACCAATCAAGGGGGAGCATTTTATGTTACCTTTAAGGACAAAAGGAGGGCAAAACTTTTGATTGAGGCCGGGAGAATCTATTACAAGGGAATAGACATCCTTATTACCTCGTATAAAAAAAGATTCATGAAATAAAAATCCACTGGTTGCACGATGATGTAAAAGAATCCTTCATTAGAAACTTTTTGAAAGGATATGGTGAGATATTGGATATCACCAGAGACACTGTGACACTTTCTGGAAAGGCAACGGTTAGGACTGGAGTGAGAACTGTTCGCATGGTCCTGAATCAAGGTGTGATTGATGATGTTCCTCACATAGTGAGATTAGGAGATGGAATGACCATGTTGTTTGCCATTTTGGGAAGATCTCCCATGTGTCTTCGATGTGGCTTTAAAGGTCACATGAGGAACAATTGTCAGGCACAGCCATACGAGTTCTTTAACCGTGTAATGCAGCGGAGTATCAGAGAGGAGAAAAAGAGGATGTCTGAAGGAGACAATGTGTCAGAGGAGGTGAGTGAGAATGGTGAAGAAGGAGAAGGTGTAGGTGTAGGTGAAGGTGATGACTCAGAGAATATTGGGCACAAAGAAAATGAACCAGTATGTAATGATGACATGTGCAAGCAGGTAGATGAGGAAATGGAGAAGGTAGATGGGGAAAGGGAGAAGGAGACAGAAGGTGAGAATGTGAACGTGGCTGAACCAAAGCCCAGTACCTCTTCTACAGTGGATGTCATTGCAGCAGTAGCTGCAAGTCTTTCTGGTTCTGATTCGCAGTGCCTTAAAGAAATTCATAACCTTATGGATACGAGTGACGATGCTTTTACTGTGCCTACAGAGACAGCTAAGAGAAAGAGTAGGTCCAAAAGTAGGGGAAAAGGTAGGGGAAAGACGAGGCGAGAGTCGAGTAACAGTCCATGTACTCCCAGGCAGGCCAAAGACAGTAGGTCCACTGGTAAATCTTACTCGGATGTGGTGTGTGATTCAGGAGGGGTCAGAGTTCAGAGTGATCCTGTCTTCTTGATAATAACCTAAGCAATGCCCATCGACTATGAGACAGAAGAATGGATGTAACACAGACGGATAAAACATATCCTCAAAAGAGGAGGTATATTACATTATTTCTGTTATGTACAATTGTTTCATGCATTTCATATAAAATGTATAATGTAACAACAATCAACTGTAATGGTTTGCTGGATGATTCGTCAAAAATTAATATTTTATCACACAAATTTAATTCGAGCATTGATGTTCTATTTCTACAAGAGACCCATGTGTATAATTTAAAATTAGCAAAGTTTTATGAATCAAAATTTAATGGGAAGGGATTCTGGGCTTTTGGATCTTATGTTAGCAGAGGGGTGGGAATAATAGTAAATAATTGTGTTATTTATGCTGTTGATCAGTTTCGTTTAGACGTTGATGGTCGATATATCATATTGGATT